GAGGATAACGTCGCTTTACTCAAAAGCGACAACGATGCATAAAGGGTCCGATGCAGCTGAGGGGTCCGAGAAGAGACCTCGAGGTAGACCCAGGGGTCGAGGGAAGGGTGGAGGCAAGATGAGACCACCATTGCATGTACCTTCGTCATCGTCTGAGGTACCTTCTGCTCACTCATCCGGTGAGAGAAGAAAATGAGGCTGATGCAGTTTTCACTACTCGACAGCGTGAGCATGCTACAGTAGATGAAGTATGATCTTGATCATGTGACGTGGGTTAGCTCAAACCATAAGTGCTTGATAGTGATCAAGAGCTCCATTGAGGATCCCATAAGGGGGGCACCCCCAGAGTGTACCACCACCACTGAGTATTTAAAGAAAGTAGAGAGTCAGTTTACTGGCTCTTCAAAGCCTTATGCAAGCACTCTTATTAAGAGGTTAGTCAATGAGAAATACACTGGTGGCGGGATAAGAGAGCACATACTAAGAATGAGCAACACAACATCTAAGCTCAAGCCAATGAACATGGGGCTCAAGGATGAGTTCCTAGTTAACTTGATTTTTGCTTCTTTGTCAAAAGAGTATGCGACTTTTGTTGTAAATTACAGCTTACAGCAAGAAAAGTGGGATATTGAGAAGCTCATTGCCATGTGTGTGCAAGAAGAGAAGCTTAAGAGCTCACATGTTGACACCGTCAACTATGTGAAGCATAACAAGAAGAAGAATTTTAACAATTAGAATGCTAAACTACAAGGGAAACCTTAGTGGGATAGTAGCTCCTCTTCTAAGTAACAAGGAAAGACCCCACAGACTGATCACCATGAGAAAGTTCAAGTGGACAAGGACACCTGCAAATGGCGCAAGAAGAAGGGACATTACCAGAAGGATTGTCTAGAGTTCCTGAAGCACCTGATGAGAAAAAGGTGAGGACATTATTACATTCATAGATGAGTCATTGTATTTAAGTTATGCAAAATCCACTTGGTGGATTGATTCAGGTGCACTATTTATGTTGCAAATTATTTATGTTGCAAATTCATTATAAAGAGGAGAAAGAATTTAGGACCTCAAGCCAATGGAAAAGGATGCTCTTGTTAAGTTGATTTTGATCCACCCGATCAAGGAGGACCCTATAAAGAGGAGAAAGATGCATTAAAGTAGCAAATAGAATCGAAGCTGAAGTTGAAGCCATAGGAGAACTCCCATTAGAACTAAAGGATGGCTTTGAACTTAGGCTTACAGATGTCCTTTATGTACCCTCTTTGCATAAAAACTTGATAAGTGTTTCACATCTAGACGATGATGGATTTGATTGCCATTTTGGTAATGGCAAATGTAAGATAATGTTTAATCACAAGTGTGTTGGTCTTGCCTTCCAACAAGACGAGCTTTATTTATTATCACTTTGTGAGAATGTGAATGATGTGAGCACTAAGAATTAGAATGTCTCCTCGTCTATGAATGTAAGAAATAAGCGGAAGAGAATTGATCATGCACCTTTGAAATTATGGCACTATCATTTAGGCCATATTTTGAGGGAGAGAATTGAACAATTAATTAAGGGATCAATTCTTTCACCATTAGAATTTTCGGATGTAGAACAATGCATTGATTGCATTAAAGGAAAGTATGTTAAGAAAATAAAGAAAGACACCTAACGAAGCGCAGGAATTTTGTAGATAATTCACATACATATATGTGGTCTGTTTCCTGTGAAAAGCGTGGATGGTTATGATTCTTTTATAACATTCACAGATGATTTTTCTCGTTATGGCTATATTTATATAATTAAGGAAAGATTAGAACCATTGGATAAATTTAAGATATTTAAGGCTGAAGTGAAAAATCACCACAACCTGAAGATTAAGATAGTAAGATCCGACCGTGGTGGGGGGGAGTACTACGGTCGACATACCCTATATGGCCAAGTTCCTGGACCTTTTGCAAGGTTTTTGCAGGAAAATGACATAGTTGCCCAGTACTCAACACCGTGCGAGCCTCGGTAGAACGGAGTAGCTGAAAGACATAACCGTACTTTAATGGATATGGTGAGAAGTATGATAAGCTACTCCACCTTACCGATAAGTTTGTGGATGGATGCGTTAAAAACCGCCATTCATATTCTCAATCGAGTACCAAGCAAGTCGGTGCCCAAAACACCGTATGAGTTGTAGACAGGAAGAGAACCCTCACTCAACCATTTACATGTGCGGGGTTGTCCAGCTGGGGCTAAAGTATTTAACTCAAACATTGGAACCTGGATTCCAAGACAGTTAGATGTCATTTCATTGGCTATCCAGATAAGTCAAAAGGTTATCGCTTCTTTTGTCTAGACAGACATACAGAGTTTGTAGAAACAAGACACGCTGTGTTTTTGGAAGATGAGATGGTCAGGGGGAGCATTGTACCCCAAGAAATTAGCTTTGAGGAGAAGTGGATATACGTGCCCACTCAGATGATTCAGGAGCCATTTTTCTCGCTACCTGTTGCTGCTGCACAAATAGTGTAGGACACTGTAGTGACAACACCTATTGTTAGTTCTCCCGCAACAACAATAAATGAAGATGAGGAACTTGTTCTTTAGGATCCTATAAAACCCGTTGTTGCACATGAGGAAGAGCAACAACAACCCCATATGGAACAAGTGCCAACTAATGAGGCCCCCAGAAGGTCTCAAAGAGCCAGATAATCAGCTAGTCCTGATGACTATGAAGTCTATGACTGTGAAGAATTTCAAATGGAGGGTGATCCCACTTTATTTGAAGAAGCCATGAGAAGCGCTCACTCATCGAAGTGGCTTGAAGCCATGGAAGATGAAATGAGATCTATGAGTAGCAACAAAGTCTAGGATTTAGAAGAAATTCCTAAAGGAGCCAAGACATTAAGTTGTAAATGGGTCTACATAATGAAATATGACTCCAAAGGAATGTCGAAAGATATAAAGCCTGACTTATAGCAAAAGGCTTCACACAAAGAGAAGGAATAAACTATAATGAGACATTTTCTCCAGTCTCATATAAGGATTCTTTTAGAATCATAATGGCGTTAGTGGCACATTATGATTTAGAACTAGATCAGATGGATGTAAAGACAACCTTCCTTAACGGGGATCTGGATGAGAATGTGTATATGGCACAACCAAAAGGTTTTGTCGTGGAAGGAAAAAGACGTATGGGATGCCGCCTGAAGAAATCCATTTATGGATTAAAATGAGCCTCTAGACAATGGTATTTAAAGTTTGATGAAACGATAAGGAAGTTTGGGTTTAAAGAGAATATGGAGGACAATTGCATTTATGCAAAGTTCAAAAATGGGAAATTCATTTTCCTAATCTTGTATGTGGATGACATCTTACTTGCTAGTAGTGATGTTAATCTACTACGGGAGACAAAGAAGTTCTTGTCCTCAAATTTTGATATGAAAGATCTCGGTGAAGCTTTGTTCGTTCTAGGAATAGAGATTCATCGAGATAGAAGAAAGGAGGTTTTAGGATTATCGCAGAAGGCATACTTAGAAAAGGTTCTAAAGAAATATAGTATGCATGCATGCAAACCTTCACCTGCTCCCATAGTCAAGGGCGATAGTTTTGGGGAATTCCAATGTCCCAGGAACCAAAATGAGATCGATCGAATGAAATCAGTTCCATATGCTTCAGTTGTCAGAAGCTTACAATATGCTCAAGTATGTACACACCCTGACTTAGCTTTTATTACCAGAATACTTGGCAGATATCAGAGTAATCTAGGAATAGAACACTGGAGAATGGTAAAGAAAGCTTTGTGTTATGTGCAAGCCACAAAAGGCCTCATGCTAACATACAGAAGATCTGATTCCCTACATATAGAGGGATATTCTGATTCAGATTTCGCGGGAGATGTTGATGATAGAAAATCCACATCAGGCTATGCATTCACTCTCGTAGGAGGAGCTATATCGTGGAAAAGCTCAAAGCAAACCATCACTGCATCATCTACGATGTATGCCAAGTTTGTAGCATGTTATGAGGCCACGGGGCAGGTGAACCGGTTAAAGAAATTTATACCCGGTTGGAAAGTGGTCGACGACATCCATGGACCACTCAAGTTATACTGCGACAACGAGCCAGCAATATGTTATGCTCACAACAATAAGTCAAGTGGTGCTGCCAAACACATTGACATAAAGTTTTATGTTGTGAAAGACAAAGTCCGATATCATTCCATTAGTCTTGAGCATGTAAGCACGAAGAAGATGCTTGCGGATCCGCTTACAAAAGGCTTATTGCCCAATGTGTTCAGAGAACACTTAGCCGGCATGGGTTTACGGGAAAGCCTATGATCTTTGGACAAGAAGGGCCTAGTCGAGAATTTGTTTCTAAAACAGAGAGGTGTATTGTAGCTGTTAATCTGACGGTACTAACCATTATGACGAGGCACGCTCTATGCACTAATCTGAGATGAAACGAGTAAAAGGAATAAATCTTAAGTTTAAGTATGAGATGAGATCAAGAGGAGAATGTTAGTATTGATCTCCTCCCGACTCGGTCCATCGAGTCGGGGCCCTGATCCGCGCCCTGATCGGGGGCCCTGATCGCAGCGCTATAAAGAGGAGGTGGGGGCCGGGGCACTCAGTATGAGGTTCACCGTAGCCGCCTAAACCCCACCTACAACCCTAATCCGATCTAGATGGTGTGCTGTGAGCGACGGAACACGGCACCGCCTTCATCGCCGCCTCTGCACCACGGCCGACGACCACACCGCCGCCGGACGTCACTGCCTCCCCTTTGCCGATACCATCCGTCACCAACACCGCCATGGACTCCTCCTCTTCCTCCAAGCCCAACGGTCAGCTACATCTACTCCTCTCTCTCTCTCCCTCTCCCGAGTCATGTTCTAGGTCTATTTGAACCAAACAGAGATGAATCAACTCGCTAATCTACACCTAGATGATCCTAAGGACTTAACAGGCTGGTGTACCGTCGCTTGCACTGCTTGCTCTTGGTGGACCCCTTCTCTGGTGCCACTATGACCCTTCCTGCACCGCCTCGCATATATGCCCCTGACGAGGGTGATGATGGTTCTGAAGACGGTAATGACATTGCATTGATGGATGCTCTGGACAGCAAGTACTTCGTCATGGTCAAACTAATTGTGTGCTCGCCCTGCCTCGTTGCTGCACTGTTCAGGGTTGACACTGTCTTTAAGATTGCAGTGTGCCGGCCTGGATCCTCATCATGGTCAGTACCGCATTGCCCATTTCCGTGGAATACTGACATTGCATTCTACCAGGGGAAGCTCTACGCCATCACTTGTACCGGGTACCTTTTAGCTCTCAACATCAGTGTGGATGATAACACTGGTGATCCGCAGTTTGCGGAAAGTGAAGAAATTATCACGCCGGACACAAACGTAGGAGCAGCAGCTCGAGTTCTGGTACTGATTACAGTTTCTTGTTTGACTACAAGGAACCTGACACTTGGGACGAGTGTGAGAGCAGTTACGATGCTGATGGTGTGGCAAACGACAAGCCGTTCTCGCATCTGCCAATGATCTCATGGAGGGGCCACAAGGGGCTTGCAGGTGCAGCGTGGCTCTTCCCTCCAAATTGATGCGGCAATGGAAGTGCATTGTAGTATGGCGGCCTGCTGACCCCTGCAATTCTAACCTACTTTTGGATGATAGTGTTAATACTCAATTTTGTGAATTTGTGTTCCTAAACCATACATGCTGTTATAATCCTTGTGTGAAGTGTGAACTAAGGCTTGGTTTAATGTAAGCATCCAGTGGCTCTTCTTATGAAATGCTTCTGTTGTCTGTTGAGAGTGTTGGCGCTGGGCCCAGGGGGAAAGTTGTGGACGAATATTGACGTACTTGGCAGCATCATAGTTGTTCGGTTCTAATATTATGCCATTGCCTTTAGCTTAGCGCTATAATTTGGCCAATGATCCCTTTGGAACAAGTTGTTATATCTAGAAATATCACTGAAACTCTAGGAAGTTTTCGAGTGATGCCCCATGCAATGTAAGAGTTATGCTCGACATTATTATAGGGAACTTTCCTTCCATACTTTTTTTTTTTGAATTGTCAACATGAGCGGGGAACTTATTGTTGAAATTCTTTAGAGAAATTCCGCTAAAAGAAGAATTCTTTTGACGTGTACTCAAGCGCATACAACATCCCTGTTCTATAAGGAATAATCCTTGCGATTTTGAATCCTTTTATAAAATCCTACATGCTAGTATACTTTGCTCACATAGTCACATGTCCTGGCGTATCCATCAGCTTTGAAAACTCTGCCTTTGTTTTTAAATGGAAATCCATGCTCTGTTCCAAACCATACAAAATCTTTCCACGACCCTACATAAATCACATGACAATGAAATTATAGTAAGATTTGATGCTCTCACAATAATTAATGAGATAATTTGTAGAAGTACCAAACGGATTCATAGTTGCTTGGTACAAAAATACAAAATAGTGGTTTTTCAATCGGACAGGAAAACACAAAGAAACGGCCTCGTTTCTTATTGGGCTCGGCCCATACGAGGTATAGTGAACCCAGACGTCCATAAGATCTCAGCCCAAGCCATTGCCAAATATCCCTCCGCCCACTCCTCTCGGCATGCTACAGTGCCACAGCACTTCACTGCCGCAGCGGCCGGAGCAGCAGGAGCACGCCGCCGGATCACGGGAACTCCCAGCTTCCCCGCTCCCTTGGTTTCTGGTACTGTCCTCTCGCTCCCTCTTCGGCCTCCCGCCCTCCCCTTCACATGCGGCTCAGCTTCCCCGTCGCGGTTCGATCCCCATCGCCCTTGCCGTGGCGCCCGCGCGAGGTGTTCGACGCATTGCCTCTGTGCGTTCTCGCGCGCGCTGGGCACCATTCTCTTCATGGCATTCCCTGTTTCTGGGGAGGGAGTGTAAAGCCGCAGCCTCACTGACACGCCTGCTGCTCCTCTGCTTCTTTGTTTCCAGGACCGGCTACCTACGGCGAGCACACAGGATTCGTGGTCGAACATCCCGCTGGATCTCGCGGGCCTCGTTCTCAAGCGCCTTCCCGCCCAAGTCGACCGCGTCCGCTTCGCAGCTGTGTGCCCCCAGTGGCGCTCCGCCGCGCGGCAGGTCAAGCTGCCCCCTCCAATGCCGCTGCTCGCGCTCAAGGCCGGGGACATCTTCTACAGCATGCCCCAGGGTGAGCCGCTCCACTTTGCTGGCTACAAAAACGGCCATTTATCTGGCTGCAGAAACGGCTTCTACACAGCTTGCGGTAACTGGCTGGTGTACCGGCGCCTTTCCGACTTGCTCCTGTTGGATCCGTTCTCTGGTGCCAGTGCCACCATGATCCTTCCTGCACCATCTAGCGTTGTTTCAGTGAAGCTGTTCATGGACGTGCAATACTCCGACGTGATCAAACTAATGGTGTGCTCGCCCAACCTCATTGCTGCACTGTTCCAAGGTAAGGAATCCAATCGGATTGCAGTGTGCCGGCCAGGAGGCTCCATGTGGTCAGTTGCACGGGACCTGTCTTTGTGGATTACTGACATGGCTTTCTACCAAGGGAGCTCTACGTAGTTGACTATCATGAGGACCTCTTGGCTCTGGACATCAGCGTGGATGACAATACTGGTGATCCACGGGTTGCTCGGATCGGACAGGTCATCAATGTTGGCCACTTTGATGATCAGTGGACCTTGTTGAGGATGCTCTACCTGGTTGAGTCGTGTGGCTCATCGCTGCTGGTGCGTAGAATGATTTCCAATAAGCATGTTAATGGCGAAGGACAGATACACACTTTTCCTGGACAGTGTGAGCCTGACGTTTTGATATCCAAGGCAGACTTTGCGCGATCGCAGTGGGTCAAGGTGACGACCCTCGCTGACGATCGGGCACTGTTTCTAGGGCCATGCTCCAGGGCTGTTTGCGTGCCTCAGGGTGACTCACCGGGCACTCGCGTGTGGTTCTTGGATGACTACAAGGACTTTCACCTTTGGAATGAGAGGCGTAGCAGCTTGAGTTCTGACACCAGCAGCGTGGCAACACCCAAGCCTTTCTCGCCTCTGCCAATGATTTCGTGGAGGGGCTACCTGGAAAATGCAGGTGCTGCATGGATCTTCCCTGCAAACTGATGCTGTTGGTTGGACCGTTGTTACAATCAAAGATGTTAAACGCACCATCTGTTTCTCTGAACGTAGTACGGTGGCCTTCTGGCATTCGCGATGCTGACTTACTTTTGGATGATTATGTTGTGCTTAGCTTTGTGGACTTGTGATGGGAACCTTGTGGTAGAATTCTGTTACTCGCCAGTAACCTATTCTGTTAAGCATTTAGATGGGAAGTTGCAATGGTGCCGTTTGATCTCTGAATGCTGTTATCTATCTTCAATCTTTTGTCGTGGAGTTAAACTTTGATTGGTTTGTGGGTTTCTTGCTGTGCTGTTTTAGGTTAAGCCCATGGTCCTTGTGTGAACTAAGGCTGAAATTGGTTGTATGCATCCTGTGGCACTTGCAGACTTGAAGTGAGATGGTTCTGTTGAGACGGATGGTGTTTCTGAAAGCTTTAAAGGGCCCGATTGCCGTGTCATCACATGTTTCCAGGACGATCGCTGTTCTCATGACATGTTTCCAAGGAACATGAACAAGTTATAATTGTGCAATTGGCCGGTTGGCCATCTATCAGTTCACTTGTGTGACTGAATGAGACTGCCATATGCATCCGTTAGTTTCATTATGCCTGTAGTCATGTACTGTATCCGTCAGTTGTGTCTATTTATGTCCTCATCTATCACATGATTGATGGTGCCATGGTGGTGACTGGATAAAAGCTGGAATGGCAAAATGGTAGGAGTTGTCCAACGGTACGGTGATAGTATCAGAATCTGCATATGAATTATCAAAGACACGTCGCAGATTAACATAGTCGCAATACATAGCATACCATTGTTATTAGGTCTTACATTACATACAATGACCTGACAAGAAGATGAAAGTCCAGACGCAAGCATTATCTTACTAGTACTGTATGACACAGATATCTCGCTAATACATCCCGTGCTCTGGATAATAAGCTCGGTCAGTCGGTTGAACCATGCTTAACCGTTATTTAACGGGAGACAAGAAACACATGCAAATATATGTATGTATATGTATAAAATCATCATTTTAATGGGCCGGGCCGGGCCGGCCCGGGCTGGGTCCTCCATCAATTGGCGACAACTCTGAGCTTCATCCCGGCGGCGCAGTGGCCGGGGACGCCGCAGATGAAGTAGTTCGCGCCTTTCTTGAGGTTAAACCTGGCGGTGCCGGACGTCGTCGCCGCCGCGTCCGCCGCGCTGCGCACTTTGCAGCTCCGGTACTCTGATGCGCTCACGGCTACCGCGTTGTGCACGCCGGCCTGGTAGTTGAAAACTGCTTGCATGCACAAAAGGATGATTAATTACGTTACTTCGTTTCAAAAAATTAATTACGTTACTAATTAACTCTCGTGACTAATCATATGTGCCGAGATTTGTATCCATGAAAAAGTAATTTGACAGTATTAAAATTTGATTTTTGAATCTTGATAACTATGTATTCATATAAAATTTGATTTGTATGTTGAAAGAGGAGTGTTTTTTTGCCTGAAAATCCTATTATTTTTGTTCAATAATAAGTAACGATTTGCATCATTGTGCAGATAAATATGTATAGATAGACACAGAGTAGTACCAAGCGTGTCACCAGCTGCGAAAGTCTTTCCACCGGACCAGCTGTCGTATGACACGGAGAAGCCCCAGCCCTTGGAATCTCCAACAACATGGGTTTCAGCAGACACAAGCGCTGAACAAACAAGAAGAGTGAAACCAAGAGCCACAGGGACAGCACTGCCTCTTGCCATTGCTTAATTAGGTGATTAGGACCTTAAACACTTGTTGCAACTACAGGTAGAGAAGAGTGTTCTAGCTATCTAGTTTGGTTTGCTGTCCTTCCCAAGCTTAGCACTATCCCTATTTATACAGGTTTCTTGCAAGCTGTTACATCTACTTTTTGTTTGTTTAAATAGTGACTACGTACTCTCCTTCCAATTGAAATTATTTATCACATTTCACTTTGTATGGGCCTGTCTCCTTAAATCCTTTTTGTTGTAGTGCCACTAATCTCTTGTCCTTCAAATTTATTAGATTTAGCAAATATTTTTGATAGAAATCAACAAATAAGACTTTCATATTTCCAAACTAAACAATTTAAATTTATTTCATTGATATTTGAAGCTTTTAAGGTCTGACGCATCTTGTCCTAAACGACATTTCTTAATGACCGGGCAGAGTATATAGTGAGAATGTACACACTTACCACTTTTCAGTTGCTTAACTAGTAGATTGCATGTTAAATATCATGTTCGCACTAAGCTTGTGGTGGTGTATGAGTAAGGTAGCATGAACAGGCTTCCCTTTTTTTTTTAAATATCATCTTGTTGTTTAATTCCCCAATTGCACTTACTTTAGTCCTAGAACAATATTCTGTCACGTTTTCCCAGTCTCCCCACTGAAACTTTAATGTATAAGTATTTAATTCAACAAATTTTATATGCCGGCGCGGCAATACACAAAGTTTACTAAGAAAGTACATAGTAGTCTACCGTTTTGCTGAAAATCTGCACCAAGGACGCTTCACCGATGAATATTATCGGCACTCCACAGCCTGTTCATACTCAGTTGTGCTCTAGTTAGGTACATAGGTATAATGCTTTATTAGTGGAGTGCATGCTTTATATATCGATACCACACTATGCCAGTATATACTAATCGGTGAGGAATGATGTCACTATAGTAGTTACAAAGGTACTGAAAGGGACCGTGACGCCTAAGAGGGGGAGGGGGATTGAATTAGCCAACTTAAAACTCTAACTCTAACTAAGGCCTCTTTTTCTATCCTTAGCAAAACCTATAAAAAAGATAAAATATCTAAATGTGCAACTACGGTTTTGTTAGTGTGTTGCTATCTCTACCGCAAAAGGAGTTATGTAAACAATGTAAATACGGAAGCCAAAGAGTGAGGTAGACATATGCAAACTCCCGTCGACGACTCCGATATTTTTATCGAGGTATCGAGAAGCGCGCAAGCTTCCCCCTAGTCCTCGTTGGAGACCCTCGCAAGGAATCCCTCTCAAGGGCCAAGCTCTCGGTCGGGTAACTCCGTGGATAGCTCCGGACCTTCCCCACGTGCAAGTGGGTCTCCGGTGTGCCTTTCGGCAAGCCTCTCCCGGACCGCTCCCCACCGTCTTCATTATCAAGCTTCCGGCTGAAACGCCGCGGACCTTGTTCCCTCCGGTACACGGTGGCGGCCACACCACAAACACGGTGGCGGGCACACTTCACCTTGCGGCGAGTGTGATTTCTTTAATCTAAAAGACTCTGTGCCTCCTAAAGTTGAAGAAGATTATCTCCCTTTCTCGTGGTCGGACTCTAAGTGGGCACACTTGGTTCACTGCGAAGAAATTTTCGATTTTGATCTTGAGTTCCTTACATCCTTCTAGCAATCCTTACTTGGGTAAGCCCATTCTCGGCTACGGTCCACAACTGCTTGGCGACTCATTAGGGTGGTCGGACTATGAGTCTGATTGCTTGGCTTTGTTTACGTCTGCTCGGACAACCTCAAGACGGCGTTGCACAGCGGATACAAGGCGCTTGGGGACTAGCTGTGGGGGGTATGACCCTGGATACCCACGACAGACTACATGGGATGCGCTTCTAGGGGTTGTCCAACCCACAAGACGAAGACTTACGGTGCACAGTACTACTCGGCGTGTATCACAAGACATCAAGGGCGATATCCTGAAGATGCTACGAGATCTGTTAGGATATGTTCGATCCCATGATTCCTGTAATCTGTTATTAGTTACCGATTATCTCATAGATCTAATCGACTTGTAACCCTACCCCCAGCTATATAAGGTGGGTAGGGGACCCCTCAAAACACACGCAATATCATACGATAGCCAATACAAACCAACAGACCACAGGAGTAGGGTATTACGTCGTGCTGACGGCCCGAACCTATCTAACTCTAGTGTCTCTGTTGCCTTCTTGTTCTGGATTAAACGCATCTCTGCCGATCAATCTACCTTCATGGGATACCGTCGGTACGGGACCCACGGGATACCCCGCAAGGAAGGGAGAAGATCTAGTCTAACTAGGATTCTTCTCATGTAATCTTAGTAGTAGTATTATTCTGTAATCCTACTAGGAACTCTCATTGTAAACCGACTAGGACTCTGGCCTCCTAACTATATAAAGGAGGGCAGGGTTCCTAGAGACGGGACTAGAGACTTGACGACACAACACTTGGCAATCAATCCAACGCAAAAGGCTAATGCCGACTGGACGTAGGGCTATTACTCGATCAACGATCGAGGGCCCGAACCAGGATAAATCGACTGTCTCTTGCATTCACCGTCGAGTTCCGCATACGCTGAAGCCCGAACATACTGCCCCGGGGACCCCCGTGGCAGGCTATCGGTGGTCAAACATCGACAGCTGGCGCGCCAGGTAGGGGCTTTCGGCGAATTTGCATCTGAGAGCTCGACGGACCTAGACAACATGATCTTCTCGACGGGATCAACCTTCATCTTCGGCTCATGGATCTGCGAGGCAGACGACAATGGCAAGCTCCAAAGCCGTCTCCTCGAAGATTCGGATCACCCTGAAGACCATTCTATTTCGGCGACTACGACAGATCAACTCACTGGAAGATTCGCGCAGCTCGCGATGTCTGATTGAACTCAGATTTCGTGACTTTGCGCATCCGACTCAAACTCAGATTCCGCATCCGAAATGGAGTCTTACCCGAGTTCTTTCGAGAAACCGAGTTCTTTTCCAATGAGGCTTAAGAACGCGGCCTTGGCCTATCAAGAATACAACTCGGAGTACAATCAAAGTCTTTTAAAGAAGTCGGATCTTTTTTCGTTCGGACTCCACAACACGACAACATCTTATCAGGCACGGCCTGAAGGATCCCCTGATCCGGTGCTTAGAATGCCACTAGAGGGAGCTCAGGAAGGTCTGATACTGACTATAACATCTCAAGACTGCATCATCTACTGGCCAGGTTCTGTTCCTGAGGATAGCGGAACCCGACTAGTCGACACGATGACGACAACGATTCTACCCTACCAAGGAGACTCGATCTACGACCTCGAAGCCTCTACTAAAGTTATTAGCAACTCTGACAGTGTGAAAACCAACGCTGATAGCAGAACAATTCACGCATGAGAAGTATTCATGGTTCGCCGTCCTCGATCACCATTGGTCCCCCCAGAAGTACCCGACGTCAGGTCATCGGACGAATCTGAGTCCAACATATCACCCTTTACCCAAGGGCATGATGGTGAGACCGAGAATCAGAAGCAAGCCAGAGATAGAAAAAACAAGTTGAAACAAGGACGCCAAAACCGTGCTAGGCAGCGCAAGAAAGCTTGGATCAGATATGAGTCAGAACTGGCCGAGTACAATAGAAGAAAATCAGAACGAGAAGTCAAAGAAAGACGCACGGCAAATACACCCTACGATAAGATCCGAGAAGCACTAAAAGAACTCAGAGCGACCTCACATCCCAGTGAAAAACAAGAACAGCTCTAGGATTTTCTCCGGTCAACAGCCCTGAGGACGCACGAAGGAAGGACCCGCTCAAGACTACCTGCCAGGTCAACGTCTCATAGGCAAGAAGATCAAAATCAAAGGAAGTCCGCTTTCGAGAGACTTGGACCAAGCGGAAGTCACAACAGAGAAAGTAGAAGAGATCATAGTCAAAGCTACCGAGTCGAACAACCAAGAAAGACTAGAAGTAAAGCACCTGCTCAGACAGCCTCGTAGAGCTACTCTCACCAAAACAACAGTTGGCCATAGGGAGGTGCCGAATCAGAATACAAAGAAGCCGGAACGCACGATAGATTCCCCTATTTTGCAAACAGACTTGCTTCAATACGACTACCTCACAAGTTCAAGCCGTCCAACCACTCTAAGTATGATGGCAAAACTGAACCAAGGCAGTGGCTCAGGATATACTCGCAATCAATTGAACTAGCCGGAGGAGACAACGATATCAAGACCCTGTTCTTTCCCATGGCCCTAGAAACCATGCCCCTCCAATGGTTCGACAAATTGAATCCAGGGTCAATCAGAAACTGGGAGGACTTGCAAAGAGCTTTCTGTGAAAATTTCGCGAGTATCATTACGCATCCCATCACCCATGCAGAATTAAAAGGACTCAAGCAGAAAGGGGGCGAAAGTCTCAGAAATTACTATCGATGATTTGGCGAACTACGAGCTCAAGTACATGACATCACCGAACGAGAAGTAATTGAAGCTTTCTCTCACGGAATCATGGCTAGGTGGCAGTTTCAAGACTTCTGCAAAGAAAACCCGAGAAACAATGAAGAATTCAGACGAACAGTAGACAAGATTATTACTGCGGAGGAGAAGACACGAGAAAGGTTCCCAGATAGAAACAACCGAGACAACTCGGACAAGCAAAATCATCGAAACAACAGACATCAAGAGAGAAAACGTGGACCAGACAACACCGTAGCGGTAACTAACAAATCAAGGAAGTTTTCCAAGCCTAGAAGGTATGACGACATTGAAAACATGCGTTGCATCTTGCACCCCAAAGGAAATCACACCATCGGAGATTGCTACACCTTCAAAGATCGATACACAAGAAAAGATAGTAAGGAGAATACCAAAGAAGACAATCAGAAAAAAGATGAGGACAACCACGAAGACAAGGGATTCCAAAAATCTAGGGGGACGGTTGCAGTGATCTTCGCCGGAGCCCCAGACTCCAGAAGCAAACATCAAGAAAAGCTAGCACTACGAACCATCATGGCAGCAGAACCGG